AGGTACCTATGGCATCATGGCAGGGGTGCCGTTTTTGCCTTCTCCCCGCTTATGGGCAGATGGCAGGTTCCAAAGAGACCATGACTGTCTACTGCAAATCACCGACGAGCCAGGCCACCGGCCAGAGCACACAGGGACCCAGGCCTCTGCCAAAGGAAGAAAGTAGTTGAGTTGCTAAAGGACGGGCCTTGGGGTCAGACAGCCCTGGGCTCGAGCCTAATGCTCTGCTGCTCCTTGGCAGTGTGATCTTAAGAAATCATTCAACCTTCCCAAGCCTCGGTTACTTCATGTGCAAAATGGGATTATCAATGCCTACTTTACAGGATTGCTGGGAGGATTAAATGAGATCATATAGGAGAAAAATCTAGCATAGCACCTGGCACCCAGTAAATGCTCTAGGAGTGCTGGCTGTGGTGGACTGCACTCACACAGGACATCTTCCCTTGCTTTCCTAAAGGCCAGCGTGGGCAGAACTTCCTGGATTCTTCCCTATCCCAGAGCACATACTCTCTATGCCACTCCTTTGTGCTTGTCACCTCCTGCATTGCTCTGCCCCTTCTCTGGCATGCACCTCCATCACCCTAGACTTGAGGAGAAAGCTTCATCTGAGCTGCCTGCTGTACCCCAAAGCCCCATCCTGATGATCTGGAGCTAACCAGTGCAGGGCCAGGTCCCACCGTCTCCATCAAGCAATGCATTCTTATCATCACCTCCTGCCACACTCAATCTCACAGAGCTGTGTCTCAGCCTGTGCTCTGCTGGTCAAGCCCCAAACCCTTTCAAGTCTCCTATCAGTGCTGTGTGTGTGTTTGTGTGTGTGTGTGTGTGTGTGTGTGTGTGTGTGTGTGTGCATGTGCACACGCACACACTGCCAGCCTGATGTCCTCAGACTCCACATCCCAGCAGAAATCCCTTCTTCCAACAGCGGTGCCTGGGGGACACATGTCATCCTTCCCTCTCCTGTCCTTGGGATGTCAGTGGTGGGACAACAAATCCATGCTCACGGCCCTCAGACCAAAATCAGTTTCAAAATTTCCTCCATTCTCAAAATGGAGCCTGACATGGGGCTTGATCCCAGGACCCTGGGATCATGACCTGAGTTGAAATCAAGAGTTGGATGCTCAACCGACTAAGCCACCCAGGTGCCCTTGTAGGCTTGGTTTTGAATCAGGAACTTAGCAGATGTCTCTGTATTGTTTGCCTGCTAGTGTGTAAATTACCCGAGTGGTTCTTAAAGTGTCGTCTACTGGCCACTGGGGGTCCTTTAGACTTTTTCAGGGCTCTCTGAGGCTGGAACTACTTTTGTGATAAGATTAAAACATTTTTTTCCATTTTCACTGTGTGAGTAAAATTGCTGGCACCTCAGTAGGAATCAAGGCCATGGCACCATATGATATCAGTGGTCATTATGTTCTTCCCCCCAAGCATATGACGGTAAGGGATAAAAAAGCCAGTTTCACGGAAGAATGCCCTCCATGAAGCAGTAAAAAAAACTATTAATTGCATTAAATATCAACGCTTGAGCATACATCTTTTTTTTTTAATATTCTGTGTGGCAAAATGGGAGGCGTGCACAAAGCTTTTCTGCTTTGGTTGTCTTATGAAAAAGATCTGGTGTCACTGACTTACAAGCTGAATTAGCCTTTTTTGCCCCCCATAAAACACCATTGTTACTTAAAAGAATGACTAGCAAACAGGTTTTTCAGGGATAGGTATTTAGTAAGTAATTTCCTAAAAGTGAACAGAGTGAGTCTGTCACTTCAAGGAAAACAACGAACTAGTACTTACTGGCAATGATAAAAATTCAAGCTTGCTTCCAAGTGAAAATTAAAATTTTAGAAAACCCATATCGGCTACATTGAGCAGCATCCCTTTACTGAAAGACTTTTCTGCTGAGATTTCTGGTGATGCATGTTAATGGCTATGACATTTTGGATCCGACATTTTTGATACGGTATAATGCAATGTGTCAGCATCCGAAGATCTGTGTAACTCTGTGAACCAGTATTTACTAAAGGACCAGGGCACAGTGTTACAAGATCATGCACGGGGCAGGGAAAGCTCCATTCAAAGCACAAGATAGACCCGTGGGTTGTAACAGAGTATAAAAAGTTCATTGATAAACTTTTAGGTTCCACACAGCAACTAGCCTGTAACACCATGCAGTTTTGGCATATTATCAAAGAAGAATCTCCACAATTATTTGGAATGGCTATTAAAATTCTCCCTTTTTTAACTATGTGTCTATGTGAAGCTGGATTTTCTTCTCGTACTTGACCCCAAACCCTGTCACAACAGAGTGAGTGCTGAAGTAGGAAATGAACACCCAGTTGCCTTCAACTACATTTCTAAAAATGTCACTCTTCTCAGTTAAATGTCTTTTGGTTTGGTTTTCATAGAAGTATGCTTTTTTTTAATACAGACATATAATGTGTAAATTTTTATTTCTAAATGGATTAATAAACACATGTTTAAAAATATTTCTCAGTAGTAGTTTCCAATGTGCTATCAACAGATTTAAGCACGTGAACAAAAGTTCAATGAGAGTCCTCACTGCTTTTGAAAAACATAAAGGGGCCCTGAGACCCCAAAGATGAAGAGCTTCTGGGGTAGGGGGCTAGAGAAGGGGGTTGGGGTCAGACCAAAGTGCCTTCTGATCGTGACTCGGCTGCTTACCAGAGGTGAGGCTTGGGGGGTGACTTAGTTCTCACCACTGAGGTGAGTCAGGGGTACTGAGTGAGGGCCTAGCTCGGTGACAGCTTGAATGAGCAAAGGGGAGAGCTACAGGTCTCGGGCGGCCCTCCTCCCAAGGAGAGAGAAGGGCCAGGGGGTTGCAGACGGCTGGCAGGAGAACTGACTTCCCTCTGGTTCTCATTGCCTTGCTCCTAGTGCCTACACTGAACTCCCACACCCTGCCCTTTGGAGAAATGCTACGAAGCTTTGTTTTTGTTTTTTTCTTCTCAATGAATTAACCTTAATTTTGTTTTGTAAGTTGGCAGCTCTGCCTGAGACCACGGATGATGCCTGAGGGAGCTGGAAAGCCAGCACTGGATCCAAACACTGCATCTAGTCCTTGAAAGCGGGGGCCTCCAAGCCACTGTTTTCTGGGCCTGGCAGCTTTCTCTTTCTCTGGCATCAATTTTCCTGCCTTCCCCTCCCTGGACACTCCTCCTCCCCTCCCTCCGGGAGGTGGTCTGGGCTCAGAGGTGAGGGCTGCCGTCCTTGGTGTGCTTTGGAAACCAGTGTGGCCAAAGGAAGCACCATCATTTCCAAAGCAGGAAATCAGGTTTCCCCAAGCTCTGAAGTTTACTTATAATTACAGCCAATTATCTTTGTTATTTCAATCTCTGTGTCATGAACTTTGGGGAAAAGCCTCTGTGGGCCTGTTTTCATGGCATTTCCTTCTCTTTAGCACGTGTCACTTGGCATTCAACTGACCCAAGAAGGAGGCGAGGACCTGGGTCATTTTCGGCAGCCCCCACCCATCGGCACTGCTGGCGGAGGAAAGGGCTCGGAGCTCACTGCACTGAGTGGCGTTGCTCATGCAGACCTCCAGCAGCACGGCCAGGGCCCAAACGCGGGGCTGTTGTGGACTTCTTAGTGACCGCCAAGACTTCCTTCCTTCCCTGGGATCAGCAGTCCTGGTTGCAACCTCCCTGGGTGTCAGGAGATGGGGGAGCCACAACTCACACCCAGGAACTGACCCGCTCTTCTCAGACGGCGCCCTACTCAGCTTCCTCCCCAGCAAGCACGGGCAGTGCCAGACACACACTCCCTGCTGGTGTCTGGGATCCAGGGAGAGAGTATGAGCCTGAGATGTGAGTGGGTGATGGCGTGTGAGTGTGTCTTCTCACTCAGGCAGCCTGGGTCCCGTCACATGTCACCCAGCTCTGCTTGCCCCAACCTGCAGCAACTGCCGTGGGGCGTGTGGGGCACCCCCCTCCCCTGCTCATTACCTTCTCCTCACCCTGTAGGTTTCAGCTCCAGCTTAATTTCCCCAGAGAAGCTTTCTCTGATTTCCACACCCAAGTGACGCCTCTCTAGTTTCGGGCTTCACTACCTTGTTCCTCTCTTGGAGCACTTTTCAAGGTGTCATCTCACATGTGCTGCTGAGATGATGGAACAAATGTCCACGTTCCCCAGTGAACCATGGGCCCCACATGGGTGGGGGTCACACCTGTTTTGCTCACCATTGGCTCCCGGGTGTGAGCAGAGCGCCCGACACACCAGGCACTCAATAAACACACGCTGAGTGAATGAATGAACGCACGCAAGAGTGAGTGTGGCTTGTGCTGGCTGTGCTCACCTGCTGTGGCCGGGCTGCTTCTGCACGTTCGAGAGAGGCCTCCCTGCCCAGGGACTGGCTGAGCTTTCCGGGGGGCAGAAATGCAGTTTTCTGCACCATAGGAAGAGCCCTTCAGGAAGGGAATGATCTGTCTTTTTTATTTAAGTGGGAGCTTCTGGGGCAGGAACAACCCTGAGGAATTAGTCTCAGGAGTTTGGGCTCTGGAGTCAGATGGCTCCTGGCTGGAGCATGAACAGGATACAGAACTAAGATGACGTCTGCAACATGGGTAGCTTTAAGGTGGAAAAGGATCATATTGGTGGAAGAGCTCAGTAAGCCACAGTACCAGCTGGGCAGTGTTTTTACGATGATCCTGTGCCATTTCTGGTGTCAGACTGAGAGACTGCTGGGGAATCTAGAAGGTGGAGTCAGAGCAGGGGGCCTGGGGTGATCTAGAAGACGAGACAGGAACCCTCCCACTTGCATTCTGGAGGGCTAGGTTCTGGTCACCTGCCAGGCAGAGGCACTGGGGAGGAGTTACTCCTGTTCCCAAGTCCACGCTGCTGCCCGACCCACCCTTGGCCGAGGCCCTGCTGCCATCTTGCTGGGACCCCCTCAAAGAGGGGCATCCCAGGCAGTCTTGCTTGAGACACTGGGGACAGAGCTGCTGGTGGGGGGAATCTAAGGGTGCTCAGCGGGGGGTGGCAGTACTCACAGTTCAGTCACATCCTTGGGGATGCCTCTGGGTAGGGTGTGTAGCCCCCTGTCGCTGCACCGCACCACTGTCTCCACGCAGGTGCACTGCTCCGGGCAGAGTGGGCCCAGCTGGCAGCTACTCTCGTCATTGCCTGCGGAGAGCCCCAGAGTGAGCAGGGCGGGAGACAAACCTCTCTGCAGAGGCAGGTGAGCAAGGCCAGGCGCCAGGCACCGCGCCATCTTCAGGGAAGGGAAGCCCTCCATTTTGAGCCAGAACCAGGAACAAGGAGCCTGCTGGTCTCACCCACGGTTAAAGGGAAAAGAATGTGTGCTTGGGTTGGGGAATAGGGTCACCTGTCTTCTACCACATTCAACATAAAATTAAGGCTCAAAAAAACCCCCCAACAAACAAACCAAACCAAAACTTGACCAACCAGAGTATTAGGCAGGAAAGAGGTCATGGTTAACTGAATCAGGAATAATTCAACCTTACTGAAGGAGAGGTCTGGGGGAGGGGGAGAGCCTGGTCTCCTTCCTCTTTCTCCTCCCTTTCTCACTCCTTCCACTGCCATAATCCCTCTGGAGTGGTAAATGTGTCCCCAGCCCCCATTATACCTTAACCTCAGTTAATCTACAAACCTGTTAATTTGTCTCCAGATAACCTACAGTTGACCCAAGTACTGGCTTGAATTTATGCAAATATGCCCTTTGGAATCCTGACACTCAAAGCCTTGGATCTCCAGGTATTCATAACTCCCTAGCCAGTGACAGAAAATTTCCAGGAGCCCATGTTGAAGTCTGATACTCGGAGCCTCATCACGATGCAGACAGGAAAACTGAGGGCCTGGGCTCCCAGGCACAGCTGTGTAGGTTACATACTGCACAAGGGTGCCTCATCATTCAAGGGGCACTAATCTCACTGACATGATAGATTAGGATATTGAGTACAACAGCGTTCTCATAGATAGTCATAAGTCATCTTGTTTTAACAAAATCAGTATATTACAACACATTTCTGATTGACAGAAGTAAAATGTCTTTAGAAAGAGGCTCCTTTTCTTAATTTGTAAGAAGGAGCCATATGGCTAGCAGCAGACCTGCAGAGGCCTTCAGAGCCACAGATGCATGCCTGAGGGCAAGTGAGATCTCAGGGGGTCCTGACCTTCAGTCCCCTGCTGCACCTCCCCTCTCTGGTGTCTTTCTTGCCTTCCCTGGCACTACCCCTCCTCCACCCCGCCCCCAGCCTTCTCACCTTCACAGGTGAAGTCCTGGATGGCCACATCCTGGATGGGTATCTCCTTGAGGAAGAAAGGCTTTTGGCACCGGGGGTTCCCGCTTACGATCCGCCTCTTCCTCAGCCACTTGCCCAGCCAGGCCAGGTGGCAGTTGCAGTTGAAGGGGTTGGACAGGAGGTTTCTGAGAGGAAAGAAGGGCTCTCTCTGAGTGGTCAGCATCCCCACCCCCCACCCCCGTGGGAGTGGGACTTGGGATCCAGGTCTGCAAGCCTGGGGCCCAGCTCTCCAGGCAGGCCGGCTCTGGGTTCTGATAAAGGAGGAAGGAGATCTGGGGAAGGAAGTGCAGACTCTCTTCTAAGATCCAGATGCAGTCTTTGCAAGGGCCTTGTTCCGGACCTCCACACACAGACCCAACCTCGGTCTCCTGACACGCCCTCCCTTCCTCCCTGGGCTCGGGCTGCTGGCTGTCTTCAATCCCTCGGCAGGATTCTCTTACACTTAGCACCTCCACACCGCTGCCCCCTCTCCTGGCATAAATCTCTCTGTGTTGGCCTGGCTTCATTCCTGGCTCAGATGGCCCCTCCCCTAAAAGGAAATGAGGAGTCCTGCCTGTCCCAGTCTTCTCCCCCAGTTGTCTGCTGCCTGCACAGAACCCACAGGCAATGTTTGCCTCCCTCCTTAGACTCTCAGCTCTCCCAGGTGGGGGTCAGCCCTGTCTGTCTGCCCGATGTCTCCAGGATCCCGCATGGCACCAGCACGGCCTCTTTACGGGTACCTATGGAATGCAGTGAGTGGATTGGTGGAGGAATCGGGGAGGGCAGCTGTCAGGCTGTGAGTGTCGCCCAGAGGACTGCAACCGGGCTAAGCAATTCATAAAGCTGTTCTCCCATGCAGATTTGTCACAGCAGCCCAGGGGAGGAGGTAACATTATTCTCATTTCACACATGAGGAAAATAAAGCTTAGGGAGGTGACACAAGAGGCCAGACAGCCCTGAATGGCTGTGGTCTGACAGGACAATTAAGAGCTTGGGAGTCAGACATCCCGGGTTTGAATCCTAGAGCTGATGTTCAGCAGCTGCGTGAAGTCAGGCAAGTTTCCTCTCATGTTGAAGCTGGTTTCCTTAGTGCTTTGTGACTCTACCTCTCTTGACATCTTTTGTGTCTTTGGATTCCCAGTTTGGAGGCAAACAGGAGGAGTAAAAAGAAGGCTCAAATAAACCAACCTGCTGGTGCTAGTTCCTAACCCACAGTCCCTGGTCTGGCTGTCATTCATTCATTCAATGCATCGGTTTATTCACCAGTTATATAATGGGCATTTACTTAGTGCCAGGCACAGATAGAGACACTGAGGATATAGCAGTGCACAGAAGAGCTGCACATTCCTGTCCTGGAACCTACATTCCAGCTGATGGGAGGCAGACAGTGCACAATCAACAACACAAAGGTCAGTTGTAATAGTATATTGGGAATGGTCAGTGCTACGGAAAAGGTTAAGGAGAGCAGGGCTGAGGAACTGGGGGTGATGACACAGGAGGAGAGTGGGGCGAGGCGATGGACACTTAAGCAAAGAATGGATGGTGGGGAGGGAGGCCAGGGGAAGGCCGTTTCAGGTAGTGGGAGTGGGTCCGGGGTGTGGTGGATGGGGGGGGGGGGCAGTAGGGAGGCTGGTGGGGCTGGCCTGGAGGGAGCTTTGGAGGGACTGGATGGCGTGGGCTTTTTAGGACCCCTACAATTTGGCTTTTATTCCCAGTGAGGCAGGTGTATGGGAACATAACAATGGGCAGCAATACAAATGCAGCAAAAGCCTTTCTCTTCTGACTTCCAGAGTCACTGGGGAAGGAAAGAGTGAATGGACCAGCACCTGAGGTTAAAGGAGCCACATAGAAGTACTAGGAACAACCATAAAGGCTAACGTGTTCAGGCCCCTGCTGTGCGTTTTACAAATATTAGCAGATTCGATCCTCATAACAATCCTACCAGACAGATTTTACCGAAGGAACAACTGAAACACTGAGAGGTGAAGTAACTTTTCTAAGGTCACATAGCTAATAGGACGTAAAGCCAGGATTTGAACCCAGGAGCTTTGGCTCTAGAGCCCATCACTTTATCACTATTCTAAACAGCCCCTTTTACCAATATAGTAAAAGTGCTCCTGGGCAGGAGCACTCATTAGGTGTCCTGAGAGCTAGAGTCTAATTCTGGTTCTGGTATACATTTAAGCAGCCAGAGGCATCATTTAAAAGTCCCTGTCAGGTCATGTCACTGGCCTGCTTAAAACCTTCCGTGGCTTCCTGACATGCATTGGATGAAGATAAAAGTAGTCCATGGCAGGCCTGTAGCCTGGTCTCCCAGAGAGAGCAGGGCACGGGCAGAGAGAATCCCAGGCAGGCTCCACGCTGCTAGCACAGAGCCTGACACGAGGCTCAAACTCACGAGCCATGAGATCATGATCTGAGCTGAAACCAAGAGTTGTATGCTTAACCAACTGAGCCACCCAGGCGCCCCATATCTCACCCTCTCTTACTCTGTGCTCTGGACCATGTTGGACTTTGCTCAGTCTTGTACATTTGCTCTGCAACAACCTACCACAGGGCCTTTGCACACATTCTTTCTATGGAAGGAAAGCACTTTCCATGGAAGCACTTCCCACTTTCTTGAACAAGTTAACTCCTACCCACCTTCCAGAACACAGCTCCAGTGTTCCTTGACAAAGCCTGTGTTGGGTTTTCATATTACTGTGGACCTCCCTTCTGTGTCAATTTACTATTCTGTGAGCTCCAGGAAGGAGGGACCATGTCTGTGAATCCTTAGCACCTAGATGGTGCCTGGCACATGGAGGGGGCCTAGCAAATGGTTATTAAGTTGAAAGATGGGTAAATAACCTTGGCCAAAGATAGTAGCGAGCTGCCAGGGAAGAGGTCTGCAGGAGAGGGGCCCAGAGTCAGTGTGCAGTGGGCACAGGGGGACTTACATGGTGGATAGGGAGACAAGTGTGGTGAAGGCTCCAGGGGTGATGGTGGTGATCCGATTGTCATAGAGGGACAGCAGCCTCACTGAACTCAGGCCAGCAAAGGTGTCATTGCTGACACAGTTGATCAGGTTACTCCTCAGCATCCTGCAAGAAGAGGGGTGGAGATGAGGGGAGCACAGGCATTATCTTCTCCTCCCCACCACAGAGCTACAATGTGTGTGTGTGTGTGTGTGTGTGTGTGTGTGTGTGTGTGTGTGTGTGTGTGTGTGTGTGTGTAGGTGGGATGCCAACTCCAAGCCCAGACTAGTCATGTTGCTGAGGTTTGTTCTGTGATAGTAGGGTCTGGGTCCGCACCGGGGCTACATGTATGTAAATGTGTACGTACATTCTTGCCTGTGCTTGCTTTGTGTACAGTGAAACTGGGTGTCAGTAGTGTATGTGTGTACACATGTATGTTGTATGGTGGTTAGTGTATGCATGTATATTTCTGGGAGGAGAAAGGAGAATCAAGATGTGGCTGTGGACATCAGCTTGAGAGTGTGTGTGTGTGTGTGTGTGTGTGTGTGTGTGTGTGCCTGTATGTACATGCTTATTTGTGTATGTGCTTATGTGCATACTGTGTATCATTGTTAGGCATATGTATGTATGTGTTTATGTGGGTAAACGTGCATGTGCCTCTATCAGCATGTTTCCAGTACGAATCTATATATGTGTACAGCTTAGGGCAAGTATCTTTCAGTGTGTGTGTGTTGAGGGTGCTAAGTTCTTTCCCATCAAGGATTGGGAAATGTATAGCGCCTCTCTGGCTCCAGGAAGAAAGGCACTCAACAGGTCAGGACAGACCCGGGCCCAGGAGCTGCCCGGCAGCCTTTGTAATCCCCCTCTGATGCCCTTGCCCTCCCATCCCCTTCTGGGACTTGGCCCAGGCCCTGGGCACTCACAAGGTCTTGAGGCTGCTGAGGCCGCGGAACATGCGCCCATGCACCGTTTCCAGCTGGTTCCCGGTCAGCATCAGCTCCTGCACGTTTGCCGCTCCATCAAAGGCACCCTCTCTCACCTCCTTGATCTTATTGTTGCTCAGGTTTCTAGAAGGAGGGGACAGAGTGGGGCAGGGTGCAGGAAGGGAATCGTCAGCCCTGCAGCCAGTGGGGACTCTCAGGCACCTCTGGACAAGGACTGGATGGTGGGGCTTCCTGAGGTATGGTCTTCAGCACCTGCGGCCGTGGAGCAGGGACCCCAATCCACACAGGTGGGGTTGCTGTGTGAAATGGGCCGTGTGGAGCTTAAAGTCTTTTCAGGGTGTTCCTCTTCCCTGGGGATGAGCAGATTTAAAATGGTGCTTCTAAAACTGATTTTCTCCCTTCAACAGAAGCTCTAGCCAAGCAGTGCTTCTCAAGTGGGGGGCAGGACAAAAACACAAAATGTGCCCTCAGTGGGGGTGGGACATCTGCAGAACTTCCAGCTCTACAGTTGAGATCCTCGATGTAAATGGATACCTTCTGGTTACTACTTTTTCAGCATTGATTATGTATTAGGTTCCGTGTGAGGGGTTAGGACCACGGAATCACATCGAATCCTTAAAATAATGCCTCTCAGAGGAATATTAATGTATATTATCATTGTCTCAGTTTATGGATGAGGAACTGAAGTTCAGAGAGTTTATTAAGTAACTTGCCCAAAGTCACGCGCTGATAGAAAAGAGATTGGGTCCCCGCTTTCTGGTGCATAAAAAGTCCTCCAGGGAGCTGCCTCTTTCTCGAGTGAATGTTCCTTTGGTGATGTGGATACTCACACCCATCCTTACTGCTTTGCAGAATTCAGAGCTTGGGGTATTGGATTTTCTTACAGTCCTAGCAACCTTGGTCCTATCAAGTCTTGGGACTGCCCCTTCTGAGTCTGCCCCTGAGCTCTGAAAGATGGTCTTTCCCTCAGATGTCTGATCACATGCCAGGCCTCATGAGAGATCCTGCAGGGCCACTGATGCTGGGAGTCCCTCCGGGCTCTTCCTGGCAGGGGGTCTCCATGGACCACCCAAAATGGTCAGGACTGAAATGCATTCCGGGCAGGATGGATGGAGTGGAAAGTGATGGTGTTTACACAAACTGGGGGAAGAATCCAGTCTCTGGAGCAAATGCCTGGCACAGGGAATAGTGTTTTGTGAACAGTGACATCTGCAGGTGCATAAGAAGCCTACTAACCCACTAAGCACACTGATGTGGTTGGGACCGAGGGCTCACCGGAAATGAACAAGCTGGCGCATTTTATGGCTGGGAATACTGAGGCCCAGACAGGTGAGGATGTGGCTCCAGGTCCCGGAGTAGCACCCTGAGTTCCTGGTACTTGTGTTTCTCTCCTGCACCGGTCTCACGCAGCTCTGGGCTCAGCCATGGCAACCCCAGGGGATGAAGCCTCCCTCATCAGCTGGCTCCGAGCAAGTGATGGAACTGGGCACCCGTGGGCTTGACGCCAGCCCCTTGCCTTCTTTCCAGGCAGGGACTGGTCCCGCAAGGCATGGCAGTGCTCACACCTGTGCACAGGTGCGGAAGAAACAGCTGGTGCTCTGACTGCTCCCTTAGTGCTCCTGTCATAGCCCTGCTCTCCTCCCACTTTCTGCCCTGCCTGGGAACCAGGAGCAATACTCCTCAGCATCCTTCCCCCAAGGTCTGAGAGAGCTGGGAGACTCTAACTGGATTTCTGCTCTGTACCCTTGACTGGCTCTCTTTAAATTCAGCCTGTTTTCTTATAAATGCTGGTAGTCCTGGTCCAGGATAACCCAGGAATGGAGGTAATGCACTGGGGAGACTGCAAATTACCCCCAAATTAGACATGGGAGGAGAGATAAAGGCTCTCCCAGCAGCTATAACTCATCTGAATGCCAGAGGAGCAGGAGTTTGCTCCAGAGAGTTAGGCTCCTTGGGGAATTAAAGTACACAGGACGGGCAATGAAGATGAGTTAAAGCAGCCATGAAGGGGGAGGGCTCCCATTTCCTGACATCTGTTTCTTTAAATGAACAAAATTAACATCACATTACTGTAAGGTTTGTGAATTGGATTTCCTCAGGCTGGGAGAAGGGAAAACATAAGGAGAGCACAAAAGGAGGGGATAGAATTTTCCAGAAGACCAGGCTGCTGTTGTCTCTCCATTCATCAAAGCACTGCTCAAACCTATAGGCAGCTTGAGGCAAGCACTCCATACACAAAACAAGGACATCAGGGTTTTGTAGGAACTCTGTCTTACTCTCAGAGCAGGATCTTCCTGAAGACACCCCAGATCCCAGGAACCCCAGGATGTAAAACCAGGACCACTCAGGAGGCCTCTCTCCACTTTTGTCTCCACCAATGGACCTGAAGGAATATGGCTACATCATGGCTTTGACTCTGATGTGGATGGGATATTACACTTGAAAGAGTCCAGCCTTGGACACTATGCAGACTTGGGGTCAGTTCAGAGGGGCAGAGGCAGGACAGCCCCAGTGAGCCTGTACCTTTCAGACCTTCTTCTCATCTTCCCAAGAAACAGTGAGGCCCCTGTAGGCTGGGGTTCGTCTAGCTACCCCTGGGAAGCCTGAGTCTGAGAAGGCAAGCCCAGGCCTCTTCTAGCCCATGGTTCGTAAGACAGTGCATAAACTCCGGCAACAGGCAAGCATCTGTAATCCTGTTTAAAGCCCAGTCCCAGACGAAAACGTAGTGGGGAGAGAGCTATGTGGATTTTTCTAGAAACTGGGGATACTGGGTCATAATGAAAGAGCACTCTGGCACACTGTCAGGTCAGGGAGGTCCTATCCACCTTTTTATGAACCTCTCCCTCCCCCTGAGGTAGAAATTCTATTTCAAGCTGGGGTCACAAGCTCAAATGTCCCCAGGGCCCAGGATGGTGACTTAAAGTAGAAAGCAAGTCCAGTGGGGACAGCACAGGCTACAAGCCCAGCGACCAGGAAAGCACAGGCCCTATTTAAGGGGGAGGCTGCCCCTCACTTCAACTCCACTTCAACAGCCATTTGGGAATGAAGGCCATGTTTTGCCAGATCTTCTGACTTTCCAAAAGATGCCAGAAATTTGGATTTTTGTTTGTGTGAACAATCCTGATTTTTAAAAGTGGGCAACTAATTCTTATTAAAAACACAACTAGTGCCAACAAATCCACCTGTGTATACCTGATTTAGGCTAGAGGGCTGCTGGGCATTAGCCTGTGGCTGAGATTCTCCTTCACAATAAGGACTGACATAGAAGTCTGCCTGAGGACTGTAGTCCATGTGACTTCCTTCATTTGAAGAGTCACCTTGAATTATCACAGTACTAATAAACCTTTTGGGTAATGGCTTATACATTTTTTTTTCTTTTTGGTATACTTAGTACATGTGACACTCATGGAGATCTCATGATTCTAACAGGACAGGTGAAGGCACAGAGCTTCAGACAGGGTTTGGAAAGGCACGCACCATGGAGCTTAAACACCTGATTTTATGTTCCTTCTCCTTGGCCCCTGTGCCCTGTCAGGGTCAGGTCGAGAGTGTAACCCCACAGTCCTTAGGGGAGCTTAGCCGACTCGGGCACAGGCACTGCTGGCTTTAACCTTACTCTGATCCAGTTGAGAGCCACAACCTCTAGGGGATATAGGGATGGTGATGGGTCCCAGTTTAAGGGCCTTAACAAAAAGAGTTGCCGTCACATTATTTTAAATAACTCGTTGTAGCCGGTGGTCTTTGGGACCAGATCTGCTCCACGGGTCATTTGCCTGGTTGGCTAGCACTATGCATATGCATTTATGCACACATACATGTGCACACATGCATTTACGGCCTTCAGAGATGCATGCATTCCCCACTGTTACCACTGCTGGTGTTGCAGCTTCAGTTTTTGTTTTTGTTTTTAAATGTTTATTTGAAAGAGAGCACTAGCACGGGTGGGGGGAGGGGCAGAGAGAGAGAGGGAGATAGAATCCCAGGCTGGATCTGCACTGTCAGCACAGAACCAGACACAGGGCTCAATCTCACGGGCTTGATCTCATGAACCATGAGATCATGACCCGAGCTGAAATCAAGTGTTGGATGCTCAACTGACTGAGCCACCCAGATGCCCTTGCTGCTTGAGTTTTAACCTTGGGTAAGGTGCTTTCTATGTTTCAGCTTCCTTATTTGTAAAAGGAAACAATCTCAAAGCTTTTTTGGTTCTCTTGGTGGGAGTTAAATGGATTAGTATCAGTACAGTCTGGGGCAGAGTACAGTGTTTAGTAACCATTAATGGCTAGCTATTATTATTGTTATTATTAACACTGCCCTGTACCCAGCTCCTTTCCACATTTGTGCTACTTCCTGGGTCCTGAAAGTATTTGAATTTGCAACTCCTGTTTTATTTAAGTTATTTTATTTTATTTTATTTTATTTTATTTTATTTTATTTTATTTGAGAGAGACAAAGACAGTGTGAGCGGGGGAGAGGCAGAGAGAGGGAGAGACAGAATCCTAAATAGGCTCTGTGCTGACAGCAGGACCCAAACCCACAAACCCCCGAGATCATGACCCAAGCCAAAAACAAGAGTCAGATGCTTAACTGACTGAGCCACCCAGGCACCCCTATTTATTTTTAAAAAAATGTTTATTTATCTATTTTTAGAGAGAGTGAATATGAGTGGGGAAGGGGCAAAGGGGGAGAGAATACCAAGCAGGTATTCTCAGCTCTCGCTGAGCATGGGGTTCAATCTCATGAACCCTGGGATCATGACTTGAGCTGAAATCAAGAGATGGCCCCTTAGCCGACTGAGCCACCCAGGCGCTCCCATACTTATTTCTGATCCTCATCATAACTTACAAGGAAGGCAGATTTATGTCTATTATGTAAATAATATAACTAGGCTCAGCAAGGCTAAGGACACTCCTAGGGTCACACAGCAGGAGAGGGACAGAGCTGAACTCGGAAGAAACACAGGTCTGTTCTTTCCCCACACATGGATTTCTGGCTGCTGAAGGGATTATCTGGCAACCCTGACCTTCATTCCAGCAAGGCAAATACTGGGACAAGCCAAGCAACCGGTGCCTCCTTGGGCGAGAACTGGGTCTGTGTTTTGTCACAGTCCCCACTACTCTCTTGTTGCTTGGATGTGGATGCTGGGAGTTGGTTGCCACTTATCATTGTGTTTGTGCTATTGTTTTCTTGGTGCACAGAAATGGTTCTCTGTTCTCCCATCCCTGTTACAAATGGGAAGATGAAAGATCGACTCAAAGTGCATGAGCTCCACTGAACATGGTGTGTGTGGGCGTAATATTTCTTTATGGAAGCAAATACTACTTGATCCTGTTTACTGTGCAGATATGTACTTGGCTAGCCTTACTCATTTTAATACCTGCCTTATCTCCATATACATGGAAGTTTCTGTTTTGAGGTTTAAAAAAGCACACCTTTCTCAAGTTTGAATTCAAAAGGGCATTTCCTTGCAGGTGATGGGTGATGTACTATGCTTGGCCTCTGAAGCTTGACACACAGGCAGCCACAATCCTCACCAGGACCCACATGTGTCCCTCTCTCATCTGTCCCTTCAGAGTGCTACTGCTCCCAGTTACAGAGCAGTTGCCAGGCCATGGGCAAGGTGGTGGCCGTGGGCAGGGAGGGAAGGAGGAGGGTACTGCACAGGGCAGGGGAAGGTCTTTCTCCTCTTTGCCTGCAGGGGACTGATAGGGGGGAAGACTGAAGAACAATACAAAAATTAAGGGTTACAGTCAGTTCCCATTATTCATGGTGGCTATATTCTATAAAGTCACCGGGGAAAAATGAATTAGGGAATGCTGAACCATTGCTCCTAGGGGAAATACAGGGTTAGGTTCCTGTGAGTCTCTGGTCACAACATTTTCATCAGCTGATCAATACATAACATTGTTTGATATGTGTTTCTGCTTAAAGACACCTTATTTTAATATACACCGTTGATTTATTTACATTGTACTCACAGCCTACAGCCCTATAACTCATGTCTGAACAAAGCTATGTAACACGCATTTTCTCCATAAGGCACATCACAGCCTTCTTGTGCTTAGGAAGGCTAGATAGCCCTTCAGCACTATGCAAAGATCTAAAACTAGGGCCCTTTAAATAGCAAAATCACTGACAAAAAGCATAAACATGTGAAAGGATGTGGCACCAAATATACTGTGAAAAGGACACCTATTTACAGTCCAAGAGCCGCAACAAGAAATCAGAGCATGTGTGGCCATTTTTGATTTCAGCTGAGAACATGTAGGGGGCTCAAAGTTTTTTGCTGTTCCGTCCATGTCTACAAATGAGTATGAAAGCACTGTATTGATTTTGAGATTACAAATAAGTTTCAGTGAGTAAGCCAATTAGCAAATATGGGATTTGTGAGTAATGAGGCTTAATTGTATTTCCTTTGTTCCACAGGCAAACCCAACTCTGGGGCCAGGAGATGTGGACTCTGGGGTGAGAGTAGGGAGAGGGGCCAAGGAGAAGGGAGTTAGATGGTAGAGAGTCCCCATGTGTGCTGGTTCCTCTGCTAGGGCACGTGGGAAGGGAGGATGAAGGGAAGCGAGCCCACCTGCACACTAGTGCGATGACAGATGAACCCACGTATGAGTGCCAACTCTGACATTTATTGGCTGTGTGGTCTCAGACAAGTCATAAAACCTCTTTGAGCCCTGCCAGCCTCTTCAGCCACACAAAGGAGTGTGAAGCAGCAGCAGGCAGGTATATAAGGACTTCATGAGATGATGTGCATGAGGCAGGGAATGTGGCCCCTGGCCTGGGACAAATACTCCCTTAGCTCAGCCACATTATTCTTGTCTGGCCCAAACTCCTAGGCAGGGAGAGGGTTATGAGGACAGGCAGCCATGGCATTGGAGAAGCCAGTGTAAGCACGTGGACCCTTTGCCTGATGTCAGGCTCCACTCAGGCCCGGGGACACCGAGACTGCAGCTCGGCATACAAGACATCTGGCGTTTCTGCTCCAAGGTCTAATGCAGAAGCCTCTAGAGGCCATCTAGAAACAGACCTTTCACCTGTCACCTTGTAAAAAGTACGAAGTGATGTGCACCCTAGACCTCTGAGTTCCATTGCTGGACCTTACCTGAGTCCCTCTTAACCCTCCTTGGGGTAGGTGTTGGGTGTGGGGGATCAGGATGAACAGAGGGGACCTGGAGACTTAGGGATTCTGTAGAATGCATGATCTGCAGAATAACTGACAATGTAAAAACAGTGAAGTTTCATTTTGGTCTGTCTCTGTATGGCTGTGCCTTCCTGTCCTACTTCTAAATACATGCCCAGTGTGGGGTCAGGAGGAGGCTGAGAAGGGCTGGAGCAGAGGTGAGGGGGCCACCAATGCCTTGGCACACGGCTGTAGTCTGCAGCACAGACCCTGGCCAGGGCCTGGAGGCTGCTGCTAAGTTCCCGAGGCTGACTTACATTTTCCGCAGGTTGGGCAACTTCTTGAAGATCCCAGTGGCCTCTAGGACAGATATGTCATTGTCGTTCAGTCGCCTGCATGGGAAATAAGCAGACAAGGTAGTGGGAGAGCTGAGGATGGGGCACCTCCTTTGCTGCCCTCCGTGGGACCCTCCCACAGCTCCCCCATGGCTTGAGCTGAATTGCCACCAGGACCTCACACTCAGCTGAGGTCAGCGGAGCTGGGGAAAAGTCAGAGAGAAGGAGGGGCCGAAAGGCGCTGCCTCACTGTGTGCCCCTGGGATGTGTAAAGTCAAAGAGAACCCTCACACTAACAACACTAATAATGAAGACCACCATCATTTATGCTGGGTTTGCCCATGCCATGCATGGTTCAATATGAATTCTGTGCTTTGCATTCTCTTACTTGATCCTCTTAACCCCCCTAGGAGGTAGGCACCATCACTTCCATTTTATAGCTAAGAATCGGACACTCAGACCTGAGAAGCAACATGCTTGATGTGAGGAAACTTGGAGAAGACCAGACTCAGACCCAGGTGTGTTGGTTCCGCACATGCTGTGCCCTCACCCGGACCATGCTGTAGCTTTTTAGCTCTTCCATTTGTGGACCAACCAACACATCCTTTTATTAGCATGGATAATTAGAGGCTCAGATAGATCTAATCATTTTAGTGTTTTCTCGCTTTTGACAATTACTTATAGCCATCTTTCTATTATACTGTAAGCTTAGTAAGGAACTGGGGGGACCATCTGCTTTGTTCATTGTGGAGGCTGATGGGCCTAGCACAGTGCCTGGCTCACGGAGGGTGTTCAGAAAATATTTGTATAATGAATGGACTGTCTTTATGTTTGAGGAAGCTATTCCTGGGGAGCGGGGAGGGGATGCCTAGGTGTCTATCCTGTGCCAAGGATGCAGAGGACAGCCACGGAGTGCCCATGTGACTGAGCCGGGAGGGGGCTGCTTCCAGAGGACCCTGCTTGGGCTGGTTCAGGGTGATTGGGTGTGGGGACATGTAGGGAGTTCCAGCCCAGGTAGTACTTACAGATCAGTGACGTATTCAGGGAGGTGGCTTGGGATGCGGGCCAGCTTCTGGTTGGAGCAGTCCACAATGGTGCCCTCACAGCGGCACTTCTCGGGGCAGACAAGGTCCATGAAGCACTCGCTGCTGAACCTGCTGCGGTAATCCTCTGAGCCTAGGCGGGGCCAAAGAGGGGGGCGTCAGGACCACCGGGGCTCCTGGCCCAGCTGAGGTTGTTGGCAGGGGGATGGGGAGGCACGTGGTGGGGTGGTGGTGGGGAGGGCCCAGTGACAGCATTGTCTTCATGCGTGGCCACCTTGCTGGTGCCCTCTCTACCCCAGATCCCCACTTTCCATTTGGTCTTTGTCATTCATGATTTCAGTCCTCTGGGAAACCAGGCTCAAGCTCTGTGGGCTCTTAAGCTTTGGTGGGTCACGGACCTTTTTGAGAAGCTGATGCAAACTTATGTTCTCCTCAGAGAAATGCTCTTAGGTGCATGTGTGCAGAATTTGTCCTATAATTTGGGGTGGGGAGTACTGAGTCCATGATGCCCATCATCTGTGGACTGTCTAAATGTCCATGAAAGTCCAAATGAAGAGATTTTGATGGGGTTTTGATGAGGGCTGTCAGGGCGAGGATGAGGTAAGGGAGGGGGATTCACACTCAATTATCTTCAAGCAAGTAAGGAAACAATAAAGGAGGCCCAGCATATGGCGGTCAATGACTATTGACACTAGATTTCAGCATTGAAGACAGTAACGAGGGTTGGGGACCTGGGGATTTGAAGCCCACTGCCCTAACACTCGGGAATTTGGCTCAGAGTTGCCTGATGATCCTCTTTAAAAACACAGTAGTAATAAATTAACATTTAAAAACTGTCAAGACAAGCACAGCTCTTGTGAGGGTCCGAATGATTTGCCCGATCTTTTGAGAATAAGCTCTGTTCAACCACAGTGAAAGGCCAGTTCTTAGCTGGAACTAAGATTTATTTTTTTGACGTTGACTTTCTCCTGAGGTCACACAGTAATGGCAACAGTATCAATAAGTGATGTCTCACAAGATGTCCAGGGGTACTGCTTTATTGATTGGAAATAATCCCTTGCTTGGTACCTGGGCAAACCTCGTGAGACCAGCAATCACAGCGGAGGTGACTGGGGAAACCCTGGCTCTCCTACCAGCCACCAGCTAGTTGGCAGGGGCCAACGTTTCATTAGCACCATGCTAGGTACAAAACATGGGCTTGGTCCATGTTTGCCCGAGGTGTAATAGCATATCAGTTGTCCTGTAAGTATTTCTGAAAGTGTTTCAGAGAACGTGGACATCACTGGAGCGCTTAACTGGTTGAGACAGACCTTGGTGATCTTATCTGCATTAGGGGCAACGTGGGGCACCAGCAGCTCAGAAGTTTTAGCAGTAGTGGGTTTGTCCAGGCTCTGGCACTCACTAGCCTCAGTCTGTCCACATGTAAAATGGGAATCTAGTACTTGCCCCTATCTCACAGGGGTGGTCGTGAAAATGCAAGGAAGAGCGAGGCAGTGAAGAGTCTCTGGGGAAGGGTAAAGAATCGTATAAATATTTATGATTCTACTACTATTGTTTTCAAGAACTTAGTGGAATATTTGGCATATCAGAGGCCATTAAAATATCAGTGTAGCTAGTGATAATAGCTGACATTTATGGAGCACAGACCATGAACGAGGCACTATTCATCAAACTTCAAATGGGTGAGCCCATTTGATCCCTGCAACACTCTCGAGATCACTGTGACTCCATTTTATAGAAGAGAAAACTGAGGCTCTCAGGTCAATTGATAATATGACAGAGGGATGAACCCAGTCAGGCTGAAGCCAAGGCTTGTGTGATTAATACTATGCTTTCCTGCAGATGTGCATTTTGACAAAACCTTTATTCCAGTCCTTCTAGAACTGATCATAGAGTCCAACTTGGCAGAGGTAGATTGATTGGCATTTTCCTGCAGAGGGCTATGGGAGGCAGGAAGCAGACATCTTCCATGCTCTTGGTTTCTTCCCCGTCACCTTATCAACCTATGCCAATTCCTGACTGGGAATGAAGTCTCTGATTCTGAAGTGTCTTCTACTTAAGACAGAGGATCAGAGGCCTGGACCTTTCCCTCTGCTCCCTCCTTGTCCCCCTCCTTCATCCCACCCTTCCACTCCCAGGCTTGTGTGAGCACAATGTGAGCACGTATCCCCGCAGTTATCTGGGCTGCTTCCTAATCCAATGCATTATGCAAATCTCTTGCCCTTGGCTTGCCAGCATCCCCCCCACTGAATAACTCTGACCTGGGCCATCTTCCTCCAGACACATCAGCATGCTGTGTCCTGGATGAATTTCATCTTGCAAACCCTGCTAAATGACAATCTTCTCTTGCTCCCTGCCAGTGGTTCCACACGGTGACGGCGTGAAGGGGCATTTTGGACATATGCATATATTTTTCTTTCAGAAGGTGTCTACAATGGAATCCCTGCAAAGTGGAGGAACCCTGGGCACTGATCAAATGCCTCTGAAAGACAGGAGGGAGCACAGTGTGCTGCTCTTCAACACGATGAGCTTGAAGATGTACCCTGGCTGGGCTGTGGCCGGGGACTGCCGCCGATTAAATGCGTTTTCGTTTTAATCAAGGTGAGAGCGTCTGTAGTTAGCAGGAATCGCTCTCTGTAGTATAGTTAGATTATAACTGGTGGACCTCTGCGATGGAACCGCTGACCCATTTTAATGAAATGATTTTGCAATTAGATTCAATGGACTAATATGTTCTTTCCAGCATCCCCCCCTGCTGTTTTTGTTATTGCCCTGGTTTGTAGTAATGAGGGGGTCGGAGTGTGATATTTTATTTGAGTGGCAGCCAGAAATGTTAATAACGGCATTTGCACGTAACCCAAAGAGTTCCTTCCCCAGTCAGAGGCAGCCTGAAATGCCACCCCCATCACTTCATATTTCATTACCGAAACTACCCTGGGTTTCTCGGAGCCATTTGTTATGCCTAATGCTCATAACTACCCAAAAGTATTTTTAACTTTTCCAGAGCTTTAAAAGTCAATTTCAATCTCAATGCATATTTGTCACTGCCAGAAATACTTAGGAGGAGGGGAGTAACTGAAGAGGCCGCTGCTTCTTCTCTTTGGGGAGAGTTCAGACAGCAGAGATCTCGGAGGACTTGAAGAAGGACCATAAAACAAAACCCCGGCTGAAATGGGTCATGGGAGAGCTGATGTCATCTGGCATTTCGCCTGTTCCTGCCCCTGTAGCCCTCCTCCCTCTACGCGGGCAGCTCAGAACAACGACACTTGGTACATGATCACAGAGAGCTTTAATAGACCAGGGGGTGGAAATCCATAGCAATGCGATTTTATTACGAATCCCTGCCCTGTGGCCACTTCCCAGGAGAGCATGTACTTAACATCTGGATGGTCATGGGATTGGGGCAGGTAGGGAGCCACAGCTCCCACTCTGTGGATGGGCTTGGCTGCAGAGGCCAGTGCTGGGCCCAGGATGGCTGCTGTCCTTAGCAATCTGGATTTGTGTCATTCTTTGGGCAACCAGTTTGTCGAATGAAAGTCACAGATTCACTGTTATCTGATGACCATGGCCCTGCCAATGCACGTGTGTCCAGAGCTCTCCTCTTCTACCTCCAATATCCTTAACGTGGGTGGGATGAAAGGAGGAAAGGAGCAGAAAGAGGAATTGGGGGGGAGATCGTCAGCTTGAAGAGAGAGCCACGTGGACAAGCAAAGGGTTGTAAGTAAGGAATGGAATCAAGAGAACATTGCCAGGCACACAGTTATCCACTCATGGGCAAAGGCTGGGGGACTAGATACCAGTGACTAGAAAATGTCAACTGTTTTACCAGGAGTTTGGTGGTCAGTTGGGCAGACAGCTGTCCCCGTAAGCTATCCCCATCACAGTCTATTATGAATGCAGCCATCTGCCTGAAACCAGAGGGAAATGCCCATGGCCTGCAGCTGGGCACTGCCTGGTCACAAGCCTGCTGCTGCAGAACCAGGGAGGTGCCCGTGAAGGTGCCATTGTGGACCAGAGGCCTGGCCCCTGTCATGGTGGGGGCAGTGCCAAGGCACTCAGAATGCCCCCTCTGTTCAGGATAGGGGACTGCTCCAGGATCAGGGATGTGTTGTGTACCAAATGGATCTTGGTATATCCATGCTGGAGGGAGGAGCCATTCCAACAGCACTGCTTGCTCACGTGCTTACTCAACTTTTTTTCCATTAATAGAAGCAAGCTTGAGGGGGAGTGTTAAAATGTTTTTCAACTCCCTATCCATTCAAGTCAATCTTATCATTCTTTTTCATTTTCTAATTCAAGGCGATGAGACTGTCCGTAGCTAGGAAGGGTGAGTATTATAGCTGGAAAGAGCAGCCATCTGAGCCTGGGCAAGTTAGTTAACCTCTCTGACTTGATATCCTCATCTGTGAAATGGGACTTATAATGTTGTTGTAAAAATTAAAACAAGGTAATGATCGAAATAGTTCAGCACCTGACCTAGAGTAAGCACTCAGTAAATGGTAAAAGCATTCAGAAAGGCCAACAGGACTCTGTTACTCAGCAACGGCTGGGCCCTGGCTCTGAGGGGTGACCTGAGGGAGAGGAGACAGTCAAGTCACATGTTACCATGAGAGGCCAGAGCTGGCTTCCAGGCCTATGCCAGGATTTGGTTCCCAGCATGGCTTTCTCTCATTTGGGGTGGGACACAGACTTCATGGCATGAACCAAAACCACAATCTTCTAGTTACACTGAGCCTAGGATTTACTAAGAAACAAACAGAACGGGGGTTGCCAAGATCCCTCTCTTGATTATCAGAGATAGCAGATCTCTGCACAGCCCTTGTGTGGCACTGGACTAGCTCCATGTGAGGAGCCCAGCTCTTGGGCCACATGTTAACTGTTCCCGGAAGGTCAAGATAACAGCCTGGACTTTAGGCTACATGGGGACCAGGGCCAGTGTACTCATGAGGAGTGGGGGTTGGGTCCAGGAGGAGGTGTGAGTTAAATCCAAAGTCTCAGACTCATGCCACTCTCACTAATTCTCATGCTCACATTTATCCCTGATGCTTCTGGTAAAGATAGAGGAGAGGGAGTAGGTCACAAAGCATTTTGACCTTTGGGTTAGCTACCACTTGGGAAGATGACCTTGCACTGGGACTTTTCCATGAAATGATGGGGCACAGGCCTTGGGTGTACCTGTTCTCTTTGAACAGAAGAAAAACAGTGGTTTCTGAGCTTCAGCCTAGCTAGTTTACCCCTTGGCCGGCATCCAGAGTAGCCTGGGGGAGGGGGTGATGCCTCCATCTGGGGTAGGAGATGTGGTTCTAGATCTTAGCTTGTCCCCAGTGTGCTCCTCCAAACCCATTTCAGCCCGTATCCGCTACCTGGAGGTGGAGGTCTCTGCGGATCCTCCGAGGCTCCCGCCCCCCGCCCTCCGTGAGGCTAGACCAGGAGAGGTGGGTCTGGCAGATGGCGGGCTGCGGTGCTCCAGAGCAGAGAAGATGTCCAGCGGTGGTGGCGGTGGCGGCGGGCCATGCTGCAGGAGAGCGCGGAGCTTTCCGCGGTGCTTGACAGAACCATGTTCCGTTTCCATCGTTCCACCACATGGTTAGATCAAGCACAAAGGAAAGCCCCGCGGCGACTGGTCAGAATCAAGGTCAGGAAGCAGCGTCAGAGAGAGGACAGGAGCGCTCAGAGGAAGCAGCGTGGAGAAGCGGAAGCCGGAGCAGGCCCCCACGGAGCGTGATTAGTACCAGGAGCAGGGTTCCACAGGAACACTTCTGAAGACAGGAGCCCCACCGCCCTTGGACCCCGCCCTGGGGCAGTCACAGGGGAAAGGGAGGAGATCGGGCGGGAGACTACTGGACACCCCTGCTCAGGAGAATCAGGGCACAATGGGTTATGACCGCAGATGTCTCAGGTCATATCACGGGCCTGAACAGAACCTCTAAATCCCGCTCGATCGTACCACTGATCTGCCAAGACATCACCCTTAGCAGAAGCAGCTTCTGCACACTCTGCATCCTGGGGCCCATCCCCACAGCACAGTGGATCCATAACAGTCTGTTCCCCCAGCCCCTTGCATGAAGAGACAAGCCACAACTCCCAGTGGCCTAACGAAGCTGCAATGCTCTTCTTTAGGAAAAGCCCCTTTCATATTCCATACCTCAGAAATTTCCTCAGTATCCTTCAAGGACCCCCAGAAACCCTCTGGCTGACAGACATTCATTCCAGATGACTCAACATGTAATGGAGAAGGCGGGGGGGGGGGGGGGGGGGGTACGGTATCAAAAGAAAATACACGTCCCTAGCCAAGGAGAAAGATGGGAAAGCCAATGGGGCCCTGCGTTTGGGACTGGGAAACCTACAGTCACAACTGTCTGAGAACAGTGACCAGTTCCCATCACGATGAGTAGTCTCTTTCAGACTAAGAGAAGGAAAGAAAGGGGGAAGACACCAGATTCTAGGGTCCTTCCTGATTGCAGATTTCCTCCATGGTTGTGAATCATGGCAGTCGGTGGAGGGACCAACAACCAAACTTTCTGGGTGCCATGGGCCCAGGTGAGGGCGTCTAGTCTCCATGTCCCTATCTGCAACAGATCAGCGACAGTTTGTATGAACTTCCTCCCAAGCCACTGAGAGGAGATATGTACTTCTTGAACAGACCAGAAGTCAGGGCCAGGTGACTGGGATCCTCCCTGCTCTTGGCCTCTGACAGGAGGAACGGAGTCACTGTTCCCCTACAATGTGTTTTTGGGGCGAGATGGTCACAGCATCTTGACAGTGCATAGGTTATCTGCAATGGTTGACCAGTGAGTCAAGGTCACTCCACAGCCCCAGGTCTGACCTCTTTCAAAGCCCTCCCATCTGACCAGCTAGAGTGGCCGTTGTACTCTAGTCTCAACTCTGCTCTGATGTCTGGACATGCAGGGCTCTGTAACACCCTGGTTGTTGGGATTTCACATTCAAGTTGGATCAGGGCCTTGGTACCAGAGCAGGAAAAATCCATCCCTTTCGTGCCCCTGCCCCCAAGCCTTTAATCCTTCTCTTTGATTTCCCTCAACAACAACAACAACAAAAAGGAGGGACAAGAGAGAAAATCTTCGCAGCACATTGAATGTCCTGGGTTTCAGATCTCATCTTGAAAATCCTACTCTATAACCTCAGACAGTACTTTCCTGCTGTGTAGGCCTCAATTTCTTCATTTCTAGCAGGGACTGTGTGAATTCTGAGTTCTCTAAAACTCTGTGATGACCTGAGCAGTATCTTGCTATTGGCCATCTTTTCTCATATTGTGTCCTCACCCTCTGTACTTTTCACTGTGAATTTCTTCTTGCCAACAGATCGCTACACACAAGGGAAGGAGGTGTGATGGAAGATATCTTCCAACTGCCAAGTGCTCCCCTGAGGATGGGCTTGGGGTCCCAGGCAGCCAGACGGCGGCTTTTCAGGGGGACTTAATCTGATGGTCAGATTACCCCAGCTGGCAGCATTCACCTCTAACCAGATACTGCTGCCCAGGGCGGCGGATGCAGCTGATAGAGGCAGACACAGGGCAGCTGGGAACCAGACGCCCTGCCTAAGGAGGGGCTTTATACATTGCAGGAGCAGCCCTCAAATTGGCTTCTAATTACATCAGCTGTCTTTGCAATGGGGGTGCTTTTAGGGGAAAGTAAAATGCAGAGTTATTATCTGTCAGCTCCAGTATGCATCACCTGACCCTCCTTCTGGAGCTTCCTGGAAACACAAAGCTTTAGACCTATGGCTTCTGTATCCCCTAAAGCCAAGGCGGGCCTGGACCCCAGTGTCTGTCAAATCCAAGGCCTTTGATACTCACCAGTAGGTCTCTCTACCTCTCTTCTCTGCAGCTACATGAAATAATAGCACATAGTATGCTATCTGTCAGGCATCAGCTCTGACGTTCCCTACCTTTACAGGAATAATCTGCTTAGTATTGATTTAAAAAAAAAAAATCTTTTAGACAGGGTCAATCCAAGAACCCTGTGCTTCTGTTTCTTTTTAAAATTTCCAAGCACTCCTGCCCTCCGTAGGAAAAGCAGCCAGGATCTCTCCCATGCAAAGGTAGGCAGGTAGTGGCACAGCAAGAGAACTATGTGTTACTGTCCCCTAGGTCAGCTTGCTATTTTCTTTCTCCTACTTCATTCCATCTGTACCCTCATCCTGCCACCCCTAGTCCCAGCCCACAGTCATTCCTAGGCACCTGCCAAGATTTTGTCTCTGGGAGATGCCATCCTCAGACCCTGGGCCGATCCCCCTCCCGTTTTGTGTGGCCCCATGGTCTTGGCATCAACACAAATCCTTGAGCTCCTGACAGGTGCCCTGTGAGCCTGAGGGGTTGGGGCTGGGAGATGGCACTCTGCCTTCCCCTGCTTCTTATCGCCCCCTCTTCTGGGGCACAACTGCTTGTTACAGCTAATTAAGTCAGCTCCCCCCACTCCCAGACTTGGATAGGAACAGAGGGGACAGAGGGAAGAAGAGGTGTGCATTATGAGAAAGGCCCTGAGGAAGGATGGTTGTGCCTCAGGTGACACTCCAGGGCTGGGAGAGGGTTTCCCTCCCAGAGATGCTGCTGGCCCAAGAAGGAACTTAAGGAAAGAGTTTTGGGGAGTGGGGGTAGGACCATAGACTAGGAAGAGAGTCATCCAAGCAGTTGGACTGTTTTCCCAATGCTCCTTCTCTCCTACATGCTGCGTGGTGTCGAGGAGTGAGCCAGACCTGGGGGTTGCCTCCACTGTTTGCTTGCTGTGACCATGGGGTGCCCTTTACCTCTGAGTCCCTGGCTCCCTCAGCTGCAGAATGAGGATTCCTCCAGGTGATCTCACAGGACTAGTGGAAGAACCAAGTCAAACTAGATGCACTCAGCATAGAGTTCATCACAAGTAAGAAACTGACATTGTTATTCTGAGGCAGACAAATTGAGACCAACACCTCATTTTGCCACAAAGTCCCTGTGGTATCTCCAAGCCCTCTCGAGGTATTAGGTTCTATTGAAGAAGATAACATAGCTAAAGTTTATCACTCGGGAGACGTGGACTAAAGGATTTGACTTAGAGGCCAAGAACAACATGAAAGGAGCAGAAGTCTGTCTGCTGGTCTTCTCCCAGCGACCGGTGACCATGCTGTCATTCTCCCTGGGAGAAGTCGCTTACATAAGATGCTCTTGGGCAGGGGAGAAGAAGGGCTCTTGCTGACACACAGATTGTGACGGTTGGCACCAACCCATCTCAGCACATTATACTATCAATCTCTCACCATTGGGAGCACAAGGCAGTGTGGTGATTTTTTTCCAGTAGCAAATGGCACAAATGTTCGCCATTTTTAACTGCCTGTTTATCTAGCTATCAGGTCAAGGACAGCTACTTCTCTTTTCAAGATGACCTGAGAACCCCTCTGGCATTCACCCCCAGTGTCTTTCCTGGGTGCAGTAGGGAGGAAGGATTCCAGAACGAGCTTGGAAACTGGTTTGAGGCTTTGCTTTCCTAGAGAGCACAACTCTTTGCTGTTTTCTCCATGAACAGACTATACCAGTCTAGGGTGGAGGAGACAGCTAGCTAATGTCGGTGAAATCTGTAACAAACTGTGGTCTGAGGGCTGTACCAAAGGCGGTCTTAGAGGGGATGGGAGCCTCCCAACATTACATGCTGCTTGCAGCCTGGCCTGGGACCCATTTCTTTCCCTATCTGCCACTTGGGGAGCACGCTTTGGAGACTCAAAGAAAATAAATCGCAGCCTCTAAAAGGCACGTGTGTAAAGGCTGCCCCTCCCCTAGCTTCCACCTGACCCTGGAGATAGGCTGCCACCTGGGTTCTGTCTCTCCTGAAATTGTGCACCACCCCTCGCCCCACCCCATGCTTTTATTGTGTGTGTGTGTGTTTTATTTTAAATCCATAAGGTAATTGGTTTTCTGCAGGACTAACTGAATTTTCCCAATTTAATTTGCAAAGATGCTCCCTAGGAGCCATTACAGCGCTCGCTGTCCTCCAGATTGGATTACTGGCCTCTCCGGGGCTGCAGTACTGAGTCGGAAGGTGGGGCCCAGCCCCGTAACCTGATTACCTGAGCAGCGGAACTTCTTGCTCTTGATCTGGCTGATGCGTTTGTTGGCCAGCCGGCGTGGGCTGCTGCAGCGGGCCCCGCTCGTCTCGATGGGGTTGTCCTGCAGGTAATCGGCCAGCCACTTCAAGTGGCAGTCGCACACAAATGGGTTTTGGGCTAAGTGGCTGCGAGAGGGATGAGAATTGATCAGGAGTGACCCGGGGTGCCACTCTCCACCGCCACCGCGCCTGGCGCTGGGCCCCTCCTCATCGGGCAGAACGCAGAGCGGGTGGGGCCTGAGGCCTGCTATGTGCCAGAGAGGGTCACAGGTGCGGCTGGCATCAGCTGGTGCCATCTCCTTGCTCTCCTGACCTGGGGCAGGACCCACCACTCACCTCGATTCTGACCCACACCAGCGGTGATGGGCAAAGTCACAGGCTCAGGGTATGTGCTTACAGCAGCCTGGATTTTATTTCTCTAAGCTCAGCAACGCCAGGCACATAAAGCAGCTGGCAGGGTGACTGGCTCATGGTGGGTGTTCCACATACAGCAGTGGGTATTGCTGTTACCCTCATCATCACCAGGGCAGCACCATGGGTCCGGCTCTGCCTGGCTTATAAGAAAACTCCACAGGGCCAGCGCAGCGCTCAGCGCATGGTCGGTGTTCAACACGCAGCAGCTGTTCTCAGCTCTTTATCGGCGCCTGTCTCTGGCTAGGGGCAGTAAGTGCCAGGTGACTTAGAAGGCATCCAGAAGCCCCAGGTTCATGGTCAGGCCTGGGATGGGCTGAGATCTGTCCTCAGGTGTTATTTATCTAATGGAGTTATTTATGATCCTCTGCAGTGAGGAAGTGCTTCCTGAAGGGAAGGTGAAAAATTCCGAGTGCCTGTAGCAGAGGGTTGATTTTGCAGGGTGGTGCAGGGTGTTGGTGGGGAGGATCGGGCTATTAGCAGAGATGGGGCCTGCTCAGAGTACAGTGGTTAAGCGAGCAGGGGAACCTGTTCGAATCCTGTTTCTTACTAGCTGTGCAACTTTGAGTAAGTTACTTAACCTCTCTGCCCATTGGTTTGCTCACCTAGAAATGAGGGATCCTCACAACACCTACCTCACAGGGTTGCTGTGAGATCTAAAGGTTTGAACACGGGGAAAGTGCTCAGCGAAGTGTCGAGCACCGGGTGGGTGCTCAGTACAGGTGAGCTTACGGCCATTCTCACCGCAGCCTCCAGATATGCTCTGGGACATGCTCACCTAGCCTTCATTTTGGGGGCTGTCTGTGCCTGGGTGTTTGGGGTCACTGGCTGCCTGCGCGTGTGCTGGCATTTGAGGGGGCATACTCACAGGGTCTGGATGGCCTGCAGAGGGGCAAAGAGTCCCTTGCTGATGGTCTGCAGCTTGTTGTCATACAGGGAGAGCAGATTGAGGTTCTGCAGGTCCTGAAACGTGTTCACTCGCAGGCAGTTGATCTTGTTGGCATTGAGGAGGCTGCAAGCACAAGAGAGGCCAGTGACTCACTGATCCTGGGAGTCACCCACGGAGCAAGGGCTGCACATGCAGGAGACAGGCTTCAGAGCTCTCCTCCAGAGACAGCCTAATGCTCTCCTGAGAGCCATGGGCCCCTGCCGCTAGAGTGTGAGTGTGTGGGGGGGG